GATATATCATGATGCAATCTACTACTTAACCATGTCGTAGCATTTTCAATTATAAACAATATGGTGTGAAGTGTACAATCAGTAACGCCCTACTCCCAAACTACTTATTTTCAGGGATAATTATCCATGACAACCCAATTAACTCTAATTTAACTAACTAATTCACAAAACTAAAACTTGCCTTTACAAATTTCCTTCGCATTACTCAATTTCCCAAGCAAGGCTTTTGTCTCAAATATTTTATGGCTGCATCTAACGTCTCGTTAGACTGCCTATGTACCCTAAACAGGGATCAAGTCATTCGTAGTTCATATAGTACTTCAAGCATTCACAATAAATATGTATGAAAGTAATATGCCTAATCAATTTAAAAGTGTCACTAGAACTCTGAGTAATATGTACGATAAAAAGGAAAAGATGCACTCACCTGGAGTCCACGCTATGATTCTCTAGCGCACGCATCGAGGCGTCCTGAATGAATGGTCCCTGTGACCAATTATCAAATCACATCTCAGAACTCTTATCCGTAGAATATGTAATTCACATAAAACACAACCTCAACGACATTCTAAAATAGTTTGATACCCATTGACCACAAGTCAACCGTCGATCAAAGATCAACGGTAGGGTTTACAACCCTGTATAACTTGACCCGGAAGATCCGCATATTAGATTTCCAATCCGCAACTCCCAACGATCCACAATATGTTTCTAGAATAACATATTAAAATTTCATTACGATCCAACAGTCAGATCTCCGCCAATTGCCTAAAACAAGTGGTCGTGAACATTTATTTTACTAACTTACAAATCCAATTTAGGAAGATCCGTAAGTCGGATTCCCGATCCGTAAATTCCTATAATTTTTAAATATTACGTATTATAATGTATCCAATTTTGGTGACGATCCAACGGTCGGATCATCGATTCACATTTTATCAAGTAACGTATCGTAACGAATTTAGGTTCCAACTATCAACCTACGTCATTCAAATGACAAAACTGAATTCAAGACATTTGACATAGCCTAAAAATAGCATTGGCGGCCCACTGGCCACGCGCCGCCGCGGGTGGCGGTCGGCCGCCCCGACTAGCCGGAAAATTCAACTATTTCCAAAAATTCTCAAACATCACAGAAATGAAGATCTCAGTGAGTGGAGCAACTTTCATACCTGCCACGAAGTCCAAAAGTGGACGAAAGATGGTCAATTTTGCCCACGAAGCCGGCGGGTGCCTAAAACTTCCCGACATCGATTCGTCGTCTACGGTGGTCCAACGGGGTCAAGGTTGGTTGGGTTTTGCTCCTGGGATGATGGGCTACAAAGCCCAAGTGGTGGCATCGGCCATTGCTTTGCCGATTTGCCGGAAAATCGAGAAGGGTGGCCGGAGCACCATTGATTTTCGTCAACTTTCGTGGCCTCAAACCGCCTCATACCATGGTTAATCAAGGTGGTTCTTGGGTGGATTTTGTAGAGGGGAATGAGAGCTTCAAGATGGTGGTGGTGGCATCGAAAAACTCCACCGGAGTTGGCCGGAATCGGCCTTGGAAAGTGGGTGGTCGCGAGTGGGAAAAACCCACGGGAAAGCTGGGATATTTTTTTTTTTTTTTTCTTTTCTTTCCTTTTTTTGATTGGGCTTCACCTTAAATAACCAATTTCTGATTGGGGATTTAATTTAATCAACACTAAACCTTGAATAACCAATTTTGAACGTCCGTAACTATACCGTTATAATCCGGACTCGAAAACGGTTTTCGCCTATGCGTTCACATCCACGAGTATTACGAGAATATGTTAAAAGAATAAGTCATACGTCTCTCTAGACGATGGTCAACAAAAGTCAAAGTCCTTACCTCTAGGGCAATTTCGTAAATTCATGCTTTTTAAATAAAATAAAAACGTAAAATTTGGAACGGGTTGTCACAATCTACCCACCTTAAGAAAATTTCGTCCTCGAAATTTAAAATCGTCAGTCCAACGTTGAATACTCAAATTTAAAGAGATATGTATGTAAATACATACACGAGGAAGACATCAAGTTATAGTGACTACATAAAAAAAAGATGACATTCTGTCATGATCGGAGTGTAGTGACTCTTCTTTCATGCCTCCAAATTCCTACTATCCTCTCATAAACATATTCAAAGCGTAATGCACTTCGAAATTAAGCATGTAATATTTTTGGGTCAAGCCCACCTAACAATTAACGAATTAAATAAGTAAATACGAATATTAACGTAGAATAATCTACTTGTTTACTTACTTAACAACCCAACGAATAAGTTATTAATATTACGGTCTGTACCCCACAAAACCGACAATTCACTGTTGTCTTGATAAGCAAGTAACAATTCCCGAGGGTGCAATATTACCATCTTGCCCCTCAATGGGAAATACACATACCAGCCTCGATCGTACTCATTCACTACCTTCTGAGGTAACATCGTCAATAACATAAATTTTCAACATCACAATCTCAATCAAATATTTGTTCGCAATAATCTGCTGTAAATCACAAGCTGCACATATAATATTTGTATTATATTTCGAAGGATACCATACTCCTAAACAGGAATGTAACCGTAGTTACCCATAATTCTAACAAAAGTATACGTCTATTAAATATGCACTGTGCGTAAAATCTTCATACATCAACTCCAATGATACCATAGTTAACCCGAAATTGTAACTGTGGTTACAAGTGACTAGAATGGAAATAAGGATATACTGCAACCATGCTACTGGTGGGACAAACAAGATGCAACTCGTCCACAAAGGTCTGAGTAACTCATTTCAAACTAATCGTTAATCTAGGAGTAGAAATGCAATACTGAACAACTTCTAATACTCAAAATCTTCATAACGACTTCCAAAGGCTTGGAAGTGAAACATGTAACACGATGAAATATAAATACACCAAGATGATAATCTTGTCAGGTTTCTATTTGTTGAATTTGTATAGAAGTCTAGGAGTAGTTTTCTCAAAAAGTCATCGTCCTCTGGACGCAATTAGAAAATTGTAGTTGCCCAAGGAAGTTTGAACTCTATATCCTCAATATCCCCACGACATTAATCAAAAGTGGGGTGCATCTAGAGTGAGGATTCATTTAGACCACATCAAAGGGAGCCTCGATTTATCTCTTTCCTACTTCCACATTTGATCACGTCACAAAGAGAACTTCTAGATCACATCCCACATCGTCCAGGGGAGTGATCCTTAAATGTATATTCCCGTCCCTACCTAACACGAGGCCTTTTGGGAGCTCACTGGCTTCGGGTTCCGTAGGAACTCCGAAGTTAAGCGAGAGGGGGGCTAGAGCAATCCCATGATGGGTGACCCACTGGGAAGTTGCTCGTGAGTTCCCAAAAACAAAACTGTGAGGGAATGGTAAACCCAAAGCGGATAATATCGTGCTACGGTGGTGGAGCGAGCTCGGGAAGTGATCCGCCCCGGGCCGGGATGTGACAATTGGTATCAGAGCCTAACCCTGGCCGTGATGTGTCGACGAGGACGTCGGGCCCCTAAGGGGGGGTGGATTGTGACATCCCACATCACCCAGGGGAGTGATCCTTAAATGTATATTCCCATCCCTACCTAGCACGAGGCCTTTTGGGAGCTCACTGGCTTCAGGTTCCATGGGAACTCCGAAGTTAAGCGAGTAGCGCGCGAGAGCATTCCCAAGATGGGTGACCCATCGGGAAGTTCTCATGTAAGTTCCCAGAAACAAAACCGTGAGGGCGTGGTCGGGGCCCAAAGCGGACAATATCGTGCTACAGTGGTGGAGTCGGGCCCGGGAAGTAGTTCTGCCCCAGGCCGGGATATAACAATTGGTATCAGAGCCAATCCCTGGCCGGAAATATGTCGACGAGGACGTCGGGCCCCTAAGGGGGGTGGATTGTGACATCCCACATCGCCCAGGGGAGTGATCCTTAAATGTATATTTCCATCCCTACCTAACACGAGGCCTTTTGGGAGCTCACTGGCTTCGGGTTCCGTAGGAACTCCGAAGTTAAGCGAGAGGGGGGCTAGAGCAATCCCATGATGGGTGACCCACTGGGAAGTTGCTCGTGAGTTCCCAAAAACAAAACCGTGAGGGAATGGTAAGCCCAAAGCGGACAATATCGTGCTACGGTGGTGGAACGGGCCCGGGAAGTGATCCGCCTGGGGCCGGGATGTGACAGTATGCATAAATCTTTTCTTTTGTAAAATTAGAAAATAAAATTACCAATTAAAATTTTAATGTACACGATCAAATTGTAAAATGGATTAGACGTCCGCACTCTAAGTTGTCATTAGAAGAAATGTTAAAAGACAATTGTGTTTAGGTGCTTGAGTATGCATTATATGACCCGGATGCACATATGGCTGGAAGCCCCTACTTCCTAGTAGGCTTCTTAGTTATTTTCTTCCATGACAATTTCGAAGGCGCCAGCAAATAGGATCGAATCGATAAATTTGTAGAAAAAGTAAAAGATTACTTTGAGAACAATATGGAAGCTTGCAGATGTTCCAGACAATAAGTAGACAAGCAGGCAATGTGGTTGTTCTTGTTCGAGAAGCAGCTCAACCACTTCTTTTATAACTTGATGGGGTTTGCGTCCTATACTTGTTCACACAAAGTTAATTAGAAAGCGAAAGATGAAAAAAGAAGACTTTAAATATTTGATTCCTATTCTTGCTAATACCAAAGTCTTTTGTGATAAAACTCAACACCTGATGAATTGTGCAAGTAATAATTATATAATTATCAAATTATAAACAATATCGTTGTTGTTAGAAATGGGTCTTTGACCCGTCTCCCGAATAATTCAACACAAAAAAATATCAAACACCATCAACAAAATTGCCCCCACCGATTTGGATGGTTAATTAGCAAGCAGAAGATGAACTGAAATTATACACAACCAAAATTAGTTGGGAAATTTAGAAAAATAATCAAAATTTAGACCTGTATAGTATTATACTCATCATTTTAATTTTATGATAATTATAATTAAAGGTTAATATAAAATTATTAATATATTATTAATGAATAAAAACTTCCTCATATAAAGGAACTACACGCCAGAGGTTCTACTCTTACAGAGCTCCTCCAAAATCTACAAACCTATCCCCTTCTCTTTAGCGTAGGTAAATATCGTTTGCTCAACAAAAAAAATCTGCAAACTTAGTTCAGCATTCGAATGTCCACTAACTCACTGGAATTGCGAGCTGAAATTGCCCAAGATGCTGTCAACATAATGTAAACATGATATATCAATTAGATAAAAGTTCCATATATTGGTACGAAAGCAATCAGATTTTCAGGATTCAAACCCAGTTTTGATCATGCAAATATTTTTCAAAAACCAATTCAACAACCAATTTAATTAAGCAGAATTACAATAACAGGATCAAATTGTAAGCCACAAAACAACCAGGATCATATTCAGCGGAATTTTTTCAACGGTCCGAGCTTGCAAACACAAGCATTCAAATTTCAATTAAAACCACTGAAATATATTTTTCATTTCCTTACCTTTCCCACCAACCAAACAGAAGCCAAGAGAATCTGAAAACCCAAAACCAGAAGAAAATTTCTGATCAGCGAGAAAGCAGTTCTGGTTTGAGAGAGAGAGGTCGGTATACTTAGAGAGAGAGACAAGAAGAGAAAAGCTAGTTTTTAGTTATTAAGGGTATATTAGTAATGATATATCAAATTTTGATTATAATTATTATACATTTAAAAGGATAGCTATTATTTTATTCATGGTCTAAATTTTAGTTATTTTTTCAAATACCCCAAATTAGGTGGAGTCATAAATATCAGAGTTGTTGAACAATTTCCTAGAGTACTATACTATGTGGTAGGTCTACACGCTGCTTAGAGAAATTTTATTGGTTAAATTACACTTTACCATCTTAAGTTTGAAGTCAATTTTAATTTCTTATAACATCTTTAAAACATTTTAATTTCATACCTCAAGTATTATTTTATTTCAATATAATATATCCGTTACATTTTCGATCCATTTATTCGTTAAGAGTTGACGTGTCTGTCATATTTATGTCACGTGACTGCCAAATTTATGTCTCAGATGGGGGAGAAAGGTGAGTGGGTGCCGAGCAGAGCTCAAGGTGGTGGCTGGGCTGGGCGCCGACGAAGGCGGATTGGAGGCTTTGGAGTCGCATAGAGAAGAAGAAGGTGGGTGCGAGTTGTAGAGAAGAGAAGGGTGGGTGGGGTTGCAGATGAGAGAAGGGAGAAGGGGGGGTGGGGAGGGGTTACGCGATTTCAATTTTTTTTTTTTAATTAAAATTTTGTTTTGCCATCTGTCACAAATTTGGCAGACACATCAGCTCTTAACGGATCAATGGATAGAAAATGTAACGGATGTATTATATTGAAATAAAATAGTACATGAGGTATGAAATTGAAATGTTTTAAAGATGTTGTAAGAAATTGAAATTGACCCCAAACTTGAGATGGTAAAGTGTAATTTACCCAATTTTATTTGAACCCATATAATTTTTCTCTACACTCAGTTTATTCTAATAAACCCAAATTTATTACGTAAACTGCCCTAACAAACCTAATTCAATATAAATTTATCTTTATACCCATTTAGAAAATAAAAACACAAAATCAGTATTTTTGTAACTCATTCAAGGATTAAATAGAGCAGTATCTCTCATATATTTGTCTTGTGCTTAATTCTTCTTTTGCTGCATATTTGTCATTACTTGTATTTATCTATTGGCATTTGTTCGGAAGTAGGGGTTCATAAAGTTCTTGGTTCCCCTCAAATGCAGTCCGTCGAGATTGTTTGTAGTCAGTGGAAATGCTTTGAGGGATTTGCATTAGTAAAGGCTTATTAGCAAGAGACCATAGAAGTGATTATTCATAAAATTCAGTTTATTTAGTTCATGTAAAGTTTAGAGAAATCAAGTGCCGAGATGTTACCTCTGAAATGGTTGAATTCCGAATTTAATTTAATAATGTCCGTGTAATTCATCAAAGGTAAAGGATGGGCATGAGCTTTAAATTGGAAAGCTTCCCAATATTTTCACTGATGGGACCGAAAATTTTATTCGAAGGTAATGAAATTTCTTGAAGTGCTTGAACATTGTAGATATCATTAGGAAGGGACCTTGACACGAAATGATCACCAATTTGGAACAGTTTCTTAGTCCCTATGAAAGGATTGTTGCAATATTTCTAAGGATCTATTATGAAAATATAAAGTGGAAGCAACGGAAAGTAAATTATTTCTTTATAGTGTTAGCGTTCAAAGCAAGATATAGTTGGAGGCCTATCCCCAAATATAAATAGACAAAAAAAAAATTGATAAATATTTTCAAAAAATAAAAAAATAAAAGAAAATCTCAATGTATCTATCAAAGCATTTTCAAGCACCTTCAAGAGGCTACAGTATTATTAGTGCCTACATTCTTTAGCCCTCAACGTTGCTTAAATTGATATAAACGCTCCTAGGACTTTGAGTACATGTTAGAATGAACGTATGATAAGATTGCATGATGGTAGAGTTTGATTATTGGGTGTGAGTTTACTGATAAATTTTAGTTTTATTGTTAATTTAATCTTATAATTGATGGTAATTATGTAATAAAGGTAAAAAAGATAATTTACATTAAAAGTTTAAATTGAGTGTAAAATAAGGTCATATGAGTTCAAATTTCCCCATTGCTTATCTCATCCTTACGGGAGATATTAGCAATCTTCCTTTTAACTATTTTTTGCTATGTTTTAACGTTCTTCTTTATGGGTACAATCATGTAATATTACTTGATGATTAGAACTATTTAGTTTCTATGTTACCATTTTATGATCAATATATTCAGTAACAAAATTCAACAAAATAAAAAAAATATTTAATTGTTTGATTAATGTTGTCATGATTTTATTGTTTAACTAAAGAACATGAATTCATATATTATTGAATAACAAGTTAGAGGACTAGGTGATTTTAAATTTTGCTAAATTTTTTTTGTAAATATAATTTTTAAGAAGTGACCTAAAACAAACAATTTAAATATATGCAGAAAAATTCAAAAGAGAAGATTGATAATGCTCTCTGTTCTTGAGTATCCATTTGTGTTTGGATAATGCTAGAAAGATCAAAATTTTAAACTAAATTTGCAAATTAAATGATATATCACCAATAAAAAATAAGCACATTAATAAACACTTAAATAATAATTTAATCATTAACAACTAAATCATTTAGTTTATAAAATGTAATTTAAAATACTATTCTCCCTATCATACATTTTGTTTAGTCTTTCTTCTTTAATTTTAACACATTGTCTTCGTCTCATTAATTGTCAAGTGTACGCAATGCTAGCCAAAGCATCCATATCTACATGACTTTTATTAATTAGGGTTTCACATGACGAGATGAGCCTGCTGCAAGAAAAATGTGTCCTGCCATCTACATCTTCTGCTACAAACGAGGTAGGGAGAGAGGTTTGAGCAGTCCAACGTCAGTCTCCTTCGGTTGAGGGATTCTTCAAATAAGTTTATTTGAAGAGTTTTTGTAAGCCTCATTCTATATTTTATTTCAGCGATTCAGCTGTTTATCGTTTAGGTTTTTCTTTAAAAATTATCTCTAACAAAAATCATTCAAATTCAAAAGTATTTATCAGTTGGATTAAATAGTAATTGACACACCCCGATCGAGATCAGGGTATGCTGGCCATCACGTGGAAGTGACGTAACCATGTGCACAGTGCGGAAGCTAATAAAATAATAATAAAAATAATACGAATAAATAAAAACCAGCTTTACACAAAGTAATAACAAATATGTGCAAGCGTAAGTGTGAACACAAAGTTTAGAGCACGTAGACCTAATGCAGTCCGGGAGAAAACGATACTACAAAGGCACACCCGAAGGTGATCCTACACTGGTAATAGTCTGTCAGATATGCTGGGGAAATCCTCAGGGAAGCCACCAAACGTGCTAGCCAAGAGCCTGGAGGGGCGCAAAACAAAAAGTGTGAGTGGGCAAAAACAAAGCTTTTCAAAAACCATTTCATAAACAAGTTCTAACCCCTCGCCGTAAAACCTGTATACTTCCCAGAAAATATAATATACATATATATATATATATATATAAATCATGCTCAGAAATATGCCATGCCAGAACCTCGAAGTAAAATGCAAGTGCTCAGGAAAATGTCAAAATCAATGCCATGAATCTGTCAGCCGTAGTCACCTAACGTGACCTGTACGGCTGAATCTAGAGCTCAAATCTCCATCTCACTAACTATACCTGCACACGAGTCGGAATCACCTAACGTGGTCTGTACGACAATCCTGGGTCTAATATAAGTACGCTCAAGTGCTACAATTACGTGAAGGCTGGGCGAATAATCGCGGGTCACCTACGAGTCGGAACCACCTAAAGTGGTATGTACGACAGGACTGTGCACCTAACTTGGATCCAAGATGAGCGAGTGGTGCGGGAAGTGAACATCACGTGAAGGACTGTGCCCGACTCTAGGCGAGAGCACTAACACCGGGGGTGCATGTTATGAGCTCTCTATGCATCTCAAATCGCTACTGAATGTAAACATAAATCATAACTCACCTACAGCACCAATACACACACACACACACACACACACACACACACATATATATATATGCAACTAACAATGCATAAACAAACGGCAACATAATGCATGGCACATAAACGAATAAACGTTTCAAATCAATTTCTGGGAAAAATATGAGTATATAGGTATATACGGAAAACCAAAAGCCCACTCACTGGTATGTAGAAGGGTCGTAACCCCCTTGCCTCGAGTGACCACGCTTGTCCTCGGGATAGGTATCACCTATATGCGAAACCACTATAAAAACGTAAATTTTAAAGCACATAATCAACCTTATGAAATAACTTCTCATACAATGCTCAAATAGGGTGTATGAATAAACCAACGTGATCTACTCAACCTCAGGAACATCCCCATATTTTTAGAAAAAAATTTCACCGTCACACGCGCCGGCCAAGGAACGGCCACACGCGCCTGCCACTCGCAGGCACGTGCCTGGCACGCTGATGGCGTCAGTTAACACCGTCAGGAATATTCCATTAACTTTAATGGATTTCGTTAACGCTGTTAGGAATATTCCGTCCAAACTGATGGAATATTCCGTCGTCTTCTACGGCAAGGCTCCGGCGCCGGAAAATCGTAAAAACTTCAAACCTTCATATCTTCTTCGTTTTTCAACCAAATTTCACAAAATTGGTACCAAAATGAAGCTTACAACGAGAGGAACAAATCCATACCACTTTCAAGTGCTAAAACACATGGAATCTCGTCGGGAAAACACCACCAACTCCGGCCAACCTCGAAACTCACGATCCCGACGTCTAAAACCTTCAAACGAACCACCCCGAGCCTCCTAAGGACTCACCAAGCTTCCTACAAGCTTGAAATTCCCAAAAACACAAGAATTAACGTGTGCATGAACAATGACAAAAATCGGGTATCCCGAGTTCGACGTGAAAACGAAGGTACCCTTACCTGAAATGGGTATGGTTGAACTCCTACGGACCTCACGAGCATGGATATATACTTTTTTTTTCTTCGATCTGTGAAGGTTTGGAGGGTTTTGGGGTATGTCCGTACAAATGGAATAGGAAATGGGGAAGGGAAATGGCTCGGGACAGGGTGCAG